TGGTTTTCCTGCCCCCCCCCCCCATATAAGTGAAAAGTATTCTCATTATGCCTGTGCTCTCTTAGTTTCTTTTACTCAACATGGCACTGTGAGTTTAATCCTGGTTTGGGTGTGGGTACCACCCCTCACTCACCGTCTTCGCTCTGTAGAATACAGAGTCGGGTTCGTTTGTTGGTTTCCCTGTCAGTGAAACTGGACTTGTGTCCAGTACGGTGGGGTACTATGAATTTTGCTGCTGTGAGTCTTTCTGTGCAGATACAAAGACACATGAGTTTCTCCAGGGTGGTCAGCAGTGGATGGTGGGATCACAGATGAGTCCGTTTTCATCTCTACTAAACACTGCCGAGTTGCTCCCAATGTGCTTCTCCCAGATTTGACGCCCCGTGACGCGCACGGTTCGGTTCTCAAGACTGTAGCTTCTAGACTGGCCCAGCTCTCAAGTCTGTGCAGGCAAAATCCTTAACTTGAAGGAGTCTGTTTTCTGTCAACATCCAATTTGGCCCCAGGACTAGAGCTACAGGCAGAAGCTTTACCACTGAATTTCAGAGAAGCCCAGAACAGGACAAAGAGGGAAGCAGTGTCAGGATTGCCACACTTGGAACTTCTTTCTTGCTGGGGTTTTCTCCAGATCTTGTTATTTGCATTTCTCTGCTTAGTAGTATGATTGAGTTTCTTCCACAGTCTCATTAGTCATTTAGGATTTCTACTCCTTGAAACACCCGTCTCACCCTTTGCCTATTATTCAGTTTTGCTTACTGATTTGCAAAGATTATTTTGTGTTTTGTGTTTGAGTCACATCCGACAGTGCTTAGGGCTCAGGTCTCACTCCTGACTCACTCAGGGGTCACGTCTGGTGGCCTCAGGGGAACATATGCAGTGCCAGGAATCGAACCCTGGTCAGGAGCATGCAAGGAAAACTTCCTACCTTCTGTACTATCTTCTCAACTCCAAGAATTCTTTTATTCTATGTGGTTTCATATGTCACAAAGTCTATTTTCTTTTTTTTTCCTCTCACTCCTACCCTAATCCTCCCATCCTTCTACCCCCACCCTACACTCCAGAAAGTCTATTTTCGTTGTCACTGCTCTATTAATATGGCTGAACATCTTTGTAAGGAGTTTTAAACAAATTTATAATAGATTCGCTTGATGTTAATACAATATTAAAAGACTTCTTAGAAGGAATTTACTTTAAATTTTCTCTTTAGAACCAAAGGAACAATTATATTATACAATCAGCCAATCAATTTAATATATTCACTATTTTCTCAGCTTTTATGTCTGTCTGGGCTGGAGCGATAGCACAGCGGGTAGGGCATTTGCCTTACAAGCGGTCAACATGGCCGACCCGAGTTCGATTCCTCCGCCCCCTTGGAGAGCCCGGCAAGCTACCGAGAGTATTCGATATGCCAGACACAGTAACAACAAAGTCTCCAATGGAGACGTTACTGGGCCCGCTCGAGCAAATCGACGATCAACGGGAGGGCCTTTACCTTTTTATGTCTGTCTAACCATATGTTCTAACACTCATTCTATATACAACATCCTTTCATTTTCTTGAGGATACGACAAGCTGCTATCAAATACACACCGAAGTGGGACATGAAAGGAAAAATTTTATTAGAGAGATGAGGTTTAATGATCAACCTGTTCTCAAGGGCTGTTAGCTGTGCACTAGCCCCTTATATTTTTTCCCATTTGAGGGTAGACAAAGGTAAATCCTTCTCGTTTAAAAAAGAGACAGAGGGGCTAGAGTCCTAGCACAGCAGGCAGGGTATTTGCCTTGCATGAGACCCACCCACGTTCGATTCCCAGCATCCCATATGGTCCCCCGAGCACCGCCAGGAGTAATTCCTGAGTGCAGAGCCAGAAGTAACCCCTGAGCATCGCCGGCTGTGACCCAAAAAGCTGTAGCACTGTAGCACTGTCCTCCCGTTATTCATTGATTTGCTCGAGCGGGCCCAGTAACGTCTCCATTGTGAGACTTGTTACCGTGTTTGGCATATCGAATACGTCACGGGGAGCTTGCCAGGCTTTGCAGTACGGGCGAAATACTCTCGGTAGCTTGCCGGACTCTCCAAGAGGGACGGAGAAATTGAACCCTGCTTGGCCGGGCCAGCGGCTTGCAAGGCAAATTCCCTACTGCAGTGCTATCGCTTCAAAAGCAAAATAAATAAATAAAATAAATACATAAGAAACAGACTTGTTCACTAATTTAATCAAAATAGAAAAGAGCACATGAGAGAAAATGTCTCCCCAAATTCGACATCCTAGAGATAAGTAAGGGTGGTGGATGTTTGGCAAAAAAGATAATATGACCCCAAAAGAATCCATGTTTCTCCATGTGTTTCTTAGAACTGGCCTCATACCCACACAGTTCCCGGGGTAACCGCAGGCCTCTCCCTCCTCGCCTTTCTGTTTGGAGCTTCCCAGAGAAGCTCAGGACAGATGAAAGAAGCAGGAACCGGACGGGCCACACTTCTGTACAGCAAACCCCAGGGAAGAGGCTCAAGTGAGTCTGAGGGTGAAGCGTGTCCCCGAGGCGGGGCCCTGAGGGCAGGTCCTGGGAGCTGGGATAAGGAGACCGGATCCCACAGTGTCTCTGCAGGGTGAGGGGCTTACTTCTGGCTCTGCGCTCAGGGGTCACTCCTGGTGAGCTTGCGGGACCATATGGGGTGCCAGGGATCGAACCCGAGTGGGCCGTATGCAAAGCAAGCCCCCTTTCCTCTGGGTTATTGCCCCAGCTCCACAGACGGCACTTTAAAGGTCACTACATATGTCATTTTTTTAAACTAGGAAGCTCTTTTTCTGATTCACGATCACCATCACAATCATCCTGTTGTTCGTCGATTTCCTCTAGCAGGCACCAGTAACGTCTCCTTCCTAGCCTTGAGATTTTAAAAGAGCCATTTCAATGTTCTTTCAGGATTAGGAGAACGAGACCCATCATTGTTACTGGTATTTGGCATATTGAGTACGACACGGGAAGTTTGCCAGACTCTGCCATGTGGGCAGGATACTTTTGGTAGCCTGCCAGGTTCTCCAAAGGAAAAATAAGATAATAAGATGTCGCTTCCAGGAACTGGGTTTTTTAGTCTCTGCATCTTGGCCGTTGATGGGACCAACCTGGCGCTGGCGGCAGCTGGTGGGTGTGACGCCTACAACTGGAAGATGGGGGGTCTGGTTGGAGAAGGCCCAGTCCCAATCTGAGTAGGCTTGGAGACCTCAGCCCCGGGACCCGCATGCCTGGGTTCCTCTGCCAGATCTTTCGTGCATGAGGCCCATCCGGACGTGTGGAGAGTGGTCCCAGCATGGCCGTGGCTGGCTCCGGAGGTCCTCAGCTGCTGGGGCTCTGCTCGGGGCGAAGGGGGGAGAGAAACTCAACCCTCCCCCCTCCAAGGGGCCCCCGGTGAGGACAGCCAGGCCCCGGGGGCAGGAGACTGCGCTCTTCTCCTCCAGGAGCTGGGTTTTATAGTTTCTGCGTCTTGGCCATTGATGGGACCATCAACTTTTTCTGATTAGAAACTTTAATTAGAAACTTCTTTTCTGGTTGAAAATCAGGTTACTAGTGAAAGGTATGGTGAAAAAAAATAACAAAAAATTGTGCAGCACTGGGAGTAAAGCAGGATTCTACGTATGCTGGGGTCCTCTCTTCCAGTCCATTCTGCATAGGTCACAGGTTTATATATTCTAAGTGAGGATTACAGTGTGCTATGCACGTGGGTTTATGTGTGTGTATAAAGAATATTTGTGTGGGGTTTTTCTTTTTTTTTTCTTCTTTTTGGGTCACACCTGGCGATGCACAGGGGTTACTCCTGGCTCTGCACTCAGGAGTTACTCCTGGCAGTGCTCAGGGGACCATATGGGATGCTGGGAATCGAACCTGGGTTGGCTGTGTGCAAGGCAAACGCCCTACCCGCTGTGCTATCGCTCCAGCCCCAGGTTTTTCTTTTCTTTTTTTTTGGTCTTTATGGGGCCAGAGAGTTGATACAAGAGTAAGTTGCTTCCTTTTGCCTTGCTGATCCCAGTTCAAATCCCCAGAGCCATCTATGGTCCCCCCAAAATTGCCGGGGACACTCCTGAACACAGGACCAGGAATAGGCCCCTGAGCTGTGCTTACAGTCCACCTCTACCTCCCCAACCCCCCAAAAAAGAACAATTAGAAAACAATCCTACTTCTTGTGGTAGAGTAACACATATACATTTTGGATTTGGGGGCCACACTTGGCCATCCTCCTGTCGGCACTCAGGGATCACTCCTAGCTGGGCTGAGAGACCCTATGAGAGGTCGAGGATCAAATCCAGCCCAGCCAGGTGCAAGGCAAACACCCAGCCTGCTTTACTATAACTTTGGCTTTCCCATTTTTACTTTATTTTATAAAATCTCTTGATCTTAAACCCTTTAAGTGGCCCCAGTATTAATTTAACTTGATGACATTGAGTTTCTGTGACTTACGAAGCTATTAATAATGGTTTCCCATGAATATAATTCCAACACCACACCCATCACCAATATACCCACCTCCGTCCCCCAAAAGCCGCAGAACTTTTTCCTTTCAACCCCCTGCCCCAATTCAATTGTGTGGATCATTTCTCCCATTATTTTACTCCCACTGCAACTTAACCCTTTGTTGTTGTCTTGCTGAGTATCTTTAAGTCCGACCCGTGAGAGATTATTCTGCCTGTGTCCCTCCGTCTGACTGATTTCACAAAAAAGTGTATGACTTTGTTCTAAGAGCAGCGGAGTATTGCTGGATACTCTTCACGGCTCTCCCCGAATGTTCTCGAGCAAAGACTATGGCGTTTTACTTGCACTGTTTCTCTCTGTAATGAGATTTTCTTCTGTGCGTATTGGGCTGGGTTCTCCCATCCAAGGACTAACCAGGCCCGACCCCGCTTAGCTTCCGAGACCAGATGAGACAGGCACACTCAGGGTGGGATGGCCATCGTTAGGGGGCTGAGTTCCTTTTGCTGAAGCCCGCCTCCCTGCCATCTTCCCAGGCTTCTACAACAACAGCACCAAAGTGGCGGTGAAGACCCTGAAGCCGGGCACCATGTCCGTGCAGGCCTTCCTGGAGGAAGCAAATCTCATGAAGACGCTTCAGCACGACAAGCTGGTGAGACTGTATGCTGTGGTCACCAAGGAGGAGCCCATCTACATCATCACGGAGTACATGGCCAAAGGTGGGTACTTGGGCGGGAGCATCCGCAAGGCTTGAAGCTTTTCCTGCGTGCCCAGGAACTGTGCAGAGCGGGGGCACTTGGGAACAGTGACTCACTGAGGAAAACCTGGAAAGCCTGAGAAATCAGTGCACGTTCCTCAACTCACCAGAAGTCACCTGTGTTCTGCAACTAAGATAGTCTTGTCTCCTGTATCAAACTCCAGAAGAGTGCCCCATCCACCCACTATGGCCTTTAGACTGTCACTGTCACTGTCCTCCCGTTGTTCATCGATTTGCTCGAGCGGGCTCAGTAACATCTCCATTGGAGACTTTTGTTGTTACTGTGTTTGGCATATCAGATCACAAATCACAAATCATCCTGTTATTCGTCGATTGCCTCGAGCAGGCCCCAGTAACGTCTCCTTCATCCTAGCCCTGAGATTATATTCAAGGCTCTTTAGGAGAATGAGACCCATCATTGTTACTGGTATTTGGCATACTGGGTACGCCACGGGGAGTTTGCCAGACTCGGCATATCAAATACTGGTCAAATAACAGGTGTTTCAAACACTAGCATTTTGCTCCATAGCTAAAGTGTGAGTTCTCACAACTCTAAAACTTGTTCGTTTTCCTCCTTAGCGTTATCTGCATGTTCAGGATGCCATTATGAACTGTTGCTATTGTTAATAGAGTGTGCAAAAAGTCATGCCCAGATGAAGCTCCTGTATAACCACTGAGTAATGGAAGATGGGGTTTCAAGTCTCTTTTCTTCCATTTATAATAATCTCCCTCAGATAAAAGGGTTTGAACCGTCACCTTTCTTCCTCCAGTTCAGTAGAAATACTTTCTCTTAAAAAACATTGTTTTATTGAATCACCATGAGGTACAGTTAGAGACTTACAAACTTTCGTGCTTACGTTTCAGTCATACAATGATCGAGCACCCATCCCTCCACCAGTGCCCATTCTCATGATTCAGAGTACACATTCAAACAGCAATTTTGTTGTTTGAACAAACAACACTCCCTCCCCATCCCTACCTCGCCCACCTCCCGCCTCTGTGGCAGGCACAATCCCTTTTTCTCAGTAGAAATGCTTTTATAAAAAAACTGAATTATCTTATTATCTAGTTCTTACTCTGGAGAACCTGGCAGGCTACCCAAACTATCCTGCCCACACGGCAGAGTCTGGCAAACTCCCCGGGGCATATTCAATATGCCAAAACCAGTAACAATGATGGATCTCATTCCCTGACCCTGAAAGAGCCTTGAATGTGGCACTTTTTAAAATCTCAGGGCTAGGATGAAGGAGACGTTACTGGTGCCTGCTCGAGGAAATCGATGAACAAAAGGGTGACAGTGATTCCAAATGGGAGACAAGAGAGACAGCATTGAGGATAAGGCACTTGCTTTGCATGCGATGCACCTGGGTTTAGTCCCCAGTACCCCTTATTGTCCCCAGAACGCCATCAGGAGTGATCCCTGAGCAGAGTCAAGAGTAAGCTGTAAGTACCACCAAGTTTGGCCCAAAAACAAACAAACAGAGGAACAAAACAGTGATTTTTAAAAAAAGTAAATTTCAGAGGAACACAGGAAGAAAATAAAGAAAAATAAGCGAAATTAATTCTATTAATCCCTCAAAGTCCTTCCATAAAAAACAGCTTTTGAAAAACAAAAACAAAAAATCACTTTAGCGCCTAAAACTTAGTCTGCATGAAGTCAGAAGCAGACTCCGAGATTTCTGCATCTTACAAATTGTGCTAACTAACAGTACTCTCTATCACACATGCAAAGAGGAGTTTCTCCTGTTTCAATATCGAAACTTCACTGATCACTGAGTGCATACTGGAGTTTCTTCATGCTCTTCAGGAGTGATCTTGCTTAACCTTTCCTGCTGTCTAAGCACCTGCGCTATGTCTGGGGGAGGGAGCAGGACATTTTCTGAGTCCTTACTGCTTCCCAAGTCCATGCATGCTTCAAACCCATCTTGATATAGCCACGGGGACAAGTCTCCTTTCCAGGGACCTTGCCCAGAGGAACTTGCCCGAAGCTACTCTCAGGCGGAGGCTCAAGATTCCAGAGCAGGTCTTTTTAAGTTTGTTTTGTTTTGGTGAACACTCAGGGCGTTCTCCTGGCTCTGCCACGCAGGAATTACTCCTGGTGGTGCTTGGGGGACCATATGGGATGCAAGGATCCAATTTGGGTCAGCTGTGTGCAAGGCAAATGCCCTCCCTCCTGGACTGATGCTCCAGCTTGTACATGCAGGTCTTGATTTAGAGATGAAGTCTTAAGCAGCCCAGTGGTGGTCTGTCGATGTCCCTTTTCTGGTGGTGGCTCTTTCCCAAAGGACAGAAAGAACTTCAGCAACTTACTGACATTGCAGTGTGGAGTCCTGGCTGTGAGCTGGCCCATGCTGAAGACTTGCTGTCCCAGAGAGGCCCCGAAGATCAGGGGGTTCCTCTCCCCTCGGGCGGGTAGGGACAGAGTACCCGAGGGTGACATGCTCAGAGACACTGCTGAGAAACCCAGAGAACATGCGTCTGTCACAGGGAGCTCATGCAACCTTTCCTTCACACCAGGCCAAAGGTCAAAGGAAATGAACTTGACCTCTCCAGGAAGCGGCATCAAAGGGAATGCAAAGCCCATCTTTTTTGTGCCTCCCCATCTCCAAGAATAATGACCCTTCCATTTCTTGACATTCTTGTTGCTTTTAACCCACCTGACCTTGCCCTTCCTCTCTCCACAGGGAGCTTGCTGGACTTCCTGAAGAGTCCCGAAGGGGCCAAAGTGCTGCTTCCCAAGCTCATTGACTTTTCTGCTCAGGTAAAGTACCAGCGGGGATTGCCTTGGGTACAGTTCGCACAGATTTCCTGGCTCAGACCCAGAATGAAATTGTCCCCGAGAAGGCGTTCCCCTTGACTCCAGCAGTGGTTGTGATTCGAGTTACGGACACAGCTGTGGGGTGTCACACAGGACACGTGCCCTTGGGTTGAGTTTGTGTTGCCTGTCACCTGCTCAGTCAGCCTCTTTATACTCAATTCGTGTCCACACATGTGATGAAAACAATGCGGCTTACTCGAATCCTTGGTGCTGTGGTTTGGAGAAAGAATTCCACGTAGGGCAAGCGTCGCATCATATGAACGTGTGAGTGATGCTTAACTTAGGAGATTTTTCGTTTCCCTGCAAACAGAGCTCTGATCCTTTTTCACGTTACCGCCTCTGAGTCCTTCTTGTTGAATGTGTCTCTCCAACTCTGAGAACTCGCCATTCCCGTTATTCCTAGGTCTGGCAGAGAAGTTGTGAGCTGGTTTACTTTGAATCACGTGTTTCCTAATGTGTGTTTAAGGGCAAAGAAAAGCGCTCCAGAAACCCAGACTATGCTTGGTAGATCAAGGACATGCACATCAGAAGGTGCCCACTCTTGACTCTTCAGTTTTGTGTGTCTTGCTCGGTAGTTTTCCTTTTTTTTTGAGACTGACTAAGTGACTTGATATTGGAAGACCAGCTACCGTAAAGTCTGAAGTAACCGGACACATCTTCCGGAAGACTTAGACTGGGGCGGGCTGTCTGATCTCCTGTTCTTACTCCCACTTCTTTCAGACCTCTAAGAGTTGGGAAATTCCTTCTTAGGAATAAAAGATGAAAGGAATAACTTTGGGCTCATGCCAAGCACCTCACGGAAGACAGGATCAGAACATAAGCTCTGCTACTGGTGCTGTGGGCTGAGCTGGAGCTTCACGTGTAAGGACTAGCATTGTGTCCAGACTCGACAGCTGCCCGTAGGTCTAGCCCCTTGGACCCTAGGATGAGTTTACTGCCATACCCAGTGGATATGGGAATCCCTACTTTAGGGGACGGTGCTGGGTGTCCGGTACAAAGGAGGTGACAGGGACACAAGCGTGGGGAAGCGTGGTATGTGATGGTGTCTCTCCTCAGCCTCGCTTCCTGTGCAGAGTGTGGCTAGCTGAGTGAATCCTTACCTGAGTCGGGAGTTCAAGGGTGACCCGGATGTCCTGTAGCCAGTGTGGGGGCCAGCAACTTGCCGAGCTAGGAAAGAGTGCGGGGGCCCTGGCTTCTTAACTCTCTGTCAGACTTTGTGATGGGCTCTGAGGGGTGCCTGGGCAGGAGGAGCCCAGGATCGTAGTTCTGGAAACCCTGGAGGCCGGGTAGGCCGTCTCGCGGGCACTGAGCACTCACTCCATGTCAGGAGCAGGGAGCAGAGAAACGGTCTGCCCCAGTGGGTTACGCGGGCACAGAGGAGCCAGGCTCTGCTCCGGGGACTTGGGGAAGTGGAATCACCCCCTGTGTCTCAGAAAGGTCAAGGGGGTGTCAGGATGGGGGAAAGTTGACTCGTGGCCCGGGACCTGTGAGGTCGTGGCTGTTGCATCTGTCCGAGGATGTCACTGGTACCCGCAGCTCTGCAGGTAGACATAATATACGTCGGGGCAGGCACTGGACACTGTGGCACTCTCCACACTGGCTATAGGACCTCCAGGTCACCCTTGAACTCCAGCTCAGGGAAGGAGTCCCTCAGCTAGCCACGCACGGGTTTTCCTTTGTCCTGTGGGTATTTTGTAGTGGGGGGTTGCCTGACTTATAAAACCTTATCTTGACGGAATCAGAAAAACAAAAAATTAGGCTCCAACTCAAGGCCTCTGTTTCTTCCTAGTTGAAGTTTGTAAATCGCAGTTCCGTTAGTGAATCTTTCTGATTTTGAAAGGAGTGGCGGGTGGCGTTTGCTTTCTAAGACCGTGTCACTGCAGGAGACTCTTCACCTTGAAGCTATCGCCAGGACCCTCCTTTTGACTGTTCAGGGTGGAAAAAGAAGAAAGATATGCGTCCTTGTGGCATACGAGCTAGAACTGAACAGCTACTCAATACATTACGCTTCTGTTTCCTCCCCCCTCCAATTCACTCGCCTGAGTAAGCAGCCCCTGAGCCCTCTCAGGTGTGGCCCGAAATCCACATAAATGCATTTTCTTCTCTTCTCGACACACTCCGCCAATAGCATCACAGAACTGGGAAACTGGGTGTTCCTGAGAGGATTTGGTTAAACTGAGCAGGTTTTCTCAGTAAGAGATCGGGATAGAAATAAACCAGTTGGTGAAGGAACAGGTGTGGAACAGCGTCTGACTGAAACCCAACCGTGAACAGCTTTATCAGGGTGTCTCTCACGGTGATTCAAGAATAAGAGCACTTAAAAAAAGAAATGAAGGAGCTTGCTAGTCCCAGCCCCCCTCCTGGGACTCACAGAAAGCCGCCAAGGGTGAGGGACAGTGTTGTGACTTCACCCCGGGTCTCTTCCTGGCCTCTTCTTCCTTCTCCCCAAGACCCACTTCCCCTCACTGTCCCCTCAGAGAGACAGGAAGTGGCTGAGAACACATGACGGCCTCCCGGGCATGTGAGCTCTGATTTCATGACTTCCTGTCCCAGAAGGCGTTCTCAGAAGCTCCTCCAAGCCCGAGAGTGGGCTACACTCGGCCCGTTTCCATGCCCACCCACCCACCCGCCCCTCCTCCCTTGGCGATGAAGAAACGACTCAAGAGCTGAAGGGCCCAGGGCTGTCACTCCTGTGGTTTATGAAGCAACAGGAAGTGAGTCCTGCACAGAGGAAGCTGGACGCTTCCAGAGCAGAGACACTGAGTGATGCCCTCCCTGCATTTGCCTCCCAGAAGAAGAAGAAGGGGTTAAAAATCTGTGGGAACAACACCCAATAAGATAGAGAGAACAAAAGGGAATGCCCTGCCACAGAGGCAGGGGGGGATGGGGGGATGGGGGGAGGGAGGGATACTGGGCTCTGTGGTGGTGGGAAATGGGCTCTGGTGGAGGGATGGGTATTTGATCATTGTATAATTGAAACCCAAGCACAAAAATGTGTAAGTCTGCAACTGTACCTCATGATGTCTCACTATTAAAAATTTAAAAAAAAAATCTGTGGGAATTCCCCTAACAGAAGTTGGAATGGAATCAGAGGCTTTTAAAGACAGGAGAGAAAAAGAAGGTAGAAAATTCTAGTTGTACAGCGAAGGTCACATAAATCATCATCTTAGCCTTCACGCCGCTTTTTTTGATTCGAGAAAATGAATCAGAGTATTTCTGGCCATTTGGTGGCAATCTCCCTAAAGTGCAAAATTAGTTACGAAAACTAAAATGGGAAGTTATACGTCAGTAAAGCTGCAGCTAAAATAAAAAGAAAATCAAAGCTTAATTTTTTTGTAAGAATGGGAAAATCAGAGCGATAGCACAGCAGGTAGGGCATTTGCCTTGCATGCAGACGACCCGGGTTCAATTCCCAGCATCCCATATGGTCCCCTGAGAACCGCCAGGAGTAATTCCTGAGTGCATGAGCCAGGAGTAACCCCTGTGCATCACCGGGTGTGACCCAAAAAGCAAAAAAATAAAATAAAAAAGAATGAGAAAATCCTGGCAACTAGCAATGTTTCTTTAGCTATTTCTCATTTATAAAGCATTTTGACCTATTATATCCTGAATATATACCTATAAAGGTACGGTTGTTTAATATGAAATGTATGTATGGTTGTTTAGTCCATTTTTTTTCTTTTTTTTAAATTTTTACTAGTGAAACACCATGAGGTACAGTTGTAGACTTACAAATTTTTGTGGTTGGGTTTCAGTTATACAGTGATGGAGTACCCATCCCTCCACCCGTGCCCATTTTCCACCACCACTGATCCCAGTATCCCTCCCTGTTTAGTACTTTTTTCAAGTAAAGAACTGACCTGAGACTTTCCCAAAGTTACACAGTACTTGGAACCCCTGGACTCATCCTGGGTCCTCTGACCCGGATAACTGGTTCTTTTCTTTGTAACCCTGCGTCTTTCCAAGACCAGATTTGTTCCTTAGCTGCTTCCGCACTGGAAACTCTGCTGATACGCATGGTTCCCTTTATGGGCTTTGCTCATCAAATTAATGATCTATCTTTAGCTTTTTCTTTTTAAAAACCTCTATTATGGGGCCAGAGCGATAGAACATCTGGTAGGGCAATTGCCTTGCACGCAGCTGACTTTGGTTCAATCCCTGACACAGCTCATATTGTCCCTGATCCCTGAGCACAAAACCAGGAGTAACCCCTGAGCATTGCCAGGTCTGTCCTCCATTCCTCCAAATCCCCCCTCTCCCAAAAAAAGAAAGCGAACCTTTTTAAATAGGAAGGCCTTAATGTCAGAGCTTTTCTAGCTTTCCTCATTATATTCTCTGCTGACAGAAAACATATATAGAGCAGGAATCCCTGGGAATAACTTTGAGTTGGTGGTGGCAAATCAAACCTAAAGTATCTGGACGCATATCCTGAGAAGTTTCTGGAGCATTGTAAATCCCATCAGACAGGGGTCTCCTCTTATCTCTGTAAGGAACCTCAAAGCTAAGTGAGTTTCTTCTTTCCTACTGCTGACTGTCCTTCAGTCTTTCAACCTGCCTCTCCCCGATCATACCCGTAACAGCCACTTTATTTTCAAAACCATAATTAAGAATTAGTCTTCGTTTAACAGCTGTTACAGTTTAGCCATTTAAACTACTTTCCCCGAGGACCACTTGGGTGAAGATGCTGAACCAGATGCAGCAGCCCATGGACAGCAAGCTGAGGTTATGAGGCTCCATTTGCCCTCACCAACCCATAGATGCCTCCCATCCTATGTGGACTCTTACTCGGTGCTCGGAAGTTCTGTGTGGTAGGCTGTCTTTCAAGCATAGGAAACTCCTCGAAGGACTGAAGGGGGCTGGAGCGATAGCACGGTGGGGAAGCTGTTTTGCCTTGCACAAGACTGATCCAGGTTCGATTCCCAGCATCCCAGATGGTCCCCCGA